TTTTTTTTTTTTTTTTTTTTTTTTTTTTTTTATTTTTTTTTTTTTTTTTTTTTTTGTTAACTTTTGACTTGAATATTGGATTAGAATTAGACAAGTATTTATTCTATTTGGGATTATATAGGGCTAAAATAATTTCAATTAAATAAAAAAACAAGAACAAAAATTTTTGTTTTTATATATTTTATATATTTAAATTCATTTAGCAAAAACTTACGTAGCCATATTCTCTCTAGTATACAAATACATGTGTTTACCTGAAAAAAAAAATGAATTCTTAGTATTAGAATTAGTATAAGCATTTAAAATTCTTAAGTAGAATACTATCTATTTAACCTATAATATTTTTGTATATAAATTGTACAGATATTGTAGCGAAAAAAAAAATTTAAGCTTATATATAATCTTTACCTTACGTCACGTATATAATATTAACCACTGAAAGGGCATCAGATATATATAAAATAAATATATACAAAAAAAAAAAAACCAACACACACACTCACAGAATAGGCAGCAATGCCTCCTGGGCAAACAGGTTCCTGGGCCAGACAAAGGCAGCCGCAAGGTATGCGCCGCATTAATAACATAAATGGCAAAGCCACAAAGAGAATATATACATATGTATATATATTAATATATATCTGTACATACATATATATACACTCGTTTATCTCATGGTAGTCATACATAATGCAGCCGCAGAATCTATGTATATATAAAAGGCAATTTATTGTTACGCCAAGTAAAGTGCAGTAAAAAAGTGAAAAAGATAAAGAGCGTGAGTAAGACAGAGGAAGGGAGAGGGACAGACAGAGTGAGAGAAAGAGTCGAAGTCAGCAACAGAATCAGAATCAGGGCCTAAGCTGCTGCTGCGACATAAAATTCAATTCAGGGCAATTTTTCTTCGGTTTTGTGTGCGTTTGCTGGTTGCGTCTTATAAAAAAAAAATCATATTTGATATTCAATATATGGCCGCAGGCCGTGCCATTCCAAGCCATACCATATAAATCAGCACTAAAATCAAGTGAAGGAAAATATTGCCAGAGCGGAAGTTAAATTTAAACAGCATCAAAATGTTTATAGGACAAAGACTGCCCAGGGATTCAGGAATTGGCCTGGCTGGCAGCTGTTGCTCTAGGCGAAACAATGGGCTCGCCGCCGAGCCTCTGTCTTTTTTTTCTCTCTCTCTCTCTCACTCTCTCTCTCTCTCCCGCTTTTTGCAATGCCATGTGCAATTGTCCCTTTAGGAAAATGTCAACTCGGCATCAGTTTGCAGTTTTTCGCTTGGCATTTGCCATTCTCTGTTTGTGGCCGAGCTCTGTCCAATTGTTTGACTTTCGTTCCACATGGAACAGTTGCAATGCCAAATATCAACTCCACAGCATACAATCCAAATATTATTTCTTTTCTCTCCGTTGTATTTCCTTTTTTTTTTTCACTTTTTTAATCTCTTAACTCCGTTTATTTCAATGTCTGTCAATTGTCAATTGTCGTTGGGCAAACGTGTATTGAAATGTGGCCAGCCACATGTTGCCAATATTGTCAGTATTTAATTTAAATTAAAAATAAGAAAAAACTAGGTAAAAGAATTCCAAAATTGGCAGCGTCAGTTGAAAAGTTTTAACGT